GGACACTTCTTAATTAATCATGGTAAACCATGACTAAATTAGTAAATTAAGCTCTTAACTCTTAACAATTCCAAAACATGCGAGCGGGGAGCGGCTAGAGGGACTGGGGATGGCGACGATGGCGACGGGAAGCGCCGGGACGGGAAGTGACGACGGAGCGTAGGAGTTGCTACGGGAAGAGGGGACGGGGACGTAGACAGGCGATGGCGAGCTGGGAACTGCTACGCAGACTTGGATGGCAACGGGAAGCCAGGACGGAAAGTGTTGATGGTGGCAGAGTTTGGCACCGCTCTTCTCCCTCTGTTCACGAAGAGTCGAAGACGAAAACTGAATTAGAGTTAGGGTTTCTTTCCCAGCCCCCGATTTTGCCTTTATTTTCAATTTTCTTTTACAATTTTTTTATTAAACAAAACGACCGAAAGGGTAAAATCAAACAACCGGTTCAAACGGCTAGAGCGGTTAACCGTCTCGGCCGCTCCATAAAATCATAGCGGCTAAATGACTGGCCCGAGCCAGTTTTACGCTCGGATAGCGGCTTTAGCGGTCCGGCCGGCTAGCTTTGCCCAGTCTTAATAACACTGATATTAACAACTCTTTTTACACAAAGCACGACCACAATAATAAGAGCATCTCCAACAATGCAATCCTTATTCACTTTCAAGTGTGGTCCCTACTGCCACCTAAGCAACTCTAGCAATTATTTCACTCATCAATTTCATACTAGCTACATCAATGTCATTCCAAATTTCCAATGCAATTGCACTTCTGGGTCCCACTTACATTTTAATACCACACAAATGGTTGGGAAAAGAAGAAAGAAAAACAAAAACAAACAAAGGACCCACTTGCAATTGCATGTCAGATTTTCATGGTGTGCAAATTTCATCCCTTGAAAGTGGTCTTGCATCAATGTCATCCACTTTTTCAATTGCAAATGGCTGCCACCTCAGCTTGCAATTCCCTCCATTTGCACAATTGGAGATGCTCTAATTGCTATCTTGTCCTGAAAACCAAGCCACATATAACACTGACGTGGTAACTCTTGTCGTGAATAACAATAAAATCAAGACTCAGCATTTATTAGCATTCGTCACATGTTCTTACAATTTAGGGGCTGGATGCTTGCCCGTGGCCCTGTTTCCATGACCGAATAAGATTCAACTTGGAAAAGTTAACTTTCAATCTATAGTTCCTTCAAATGTTAATCATCATAAAATTGTTTATACTTTGTAAAATTAGATTGTCATCGGCCATAATCAATACAAAATCCGCATACTCCATCATAAAAATTCTCACAAATCCTTTAAGATATTTCACTAATGAAGTCATACAAGTAGTTCAATATACAATCATCCAAATACATAACATCTATTACCATAAATCTACTAATCCACAAATATGACTTTCATAGTAATTGTTAACTCCATAGACACTAAAAAGTTTGAAAGATAAGTTGAACTCTGAGGGTGTTGATATCAAAGTTTCACTCGAACAATGAACGAACTAAACAGCTCAAAGCGCTTAAGATTTGGTGTATCGACCACAAAAAAAAGACACCGTACAAGTCACTGTTGGCTTTCCAAACTAAGGATCAATTCGATGTTTCTTGCGGACAGCTATGGATGGGATTGTCATAAAATTGTTTATACTTTGTAAAATTAGATTGTCATCGGCCATAATCAATACAAAATCCGCATACTCCATCATAAAAATTCTCACAAATCCTTTAAGATATTTCACTAATCAAGTCATACAAGTAGTTCAATATACAATCATCCAAATACATAACATCTATTACCATAAATCTACTAATCCACAAATATGACTTTCATAGTAATTGTTAACTCCATAGACACTAAAAAGTTTGAAAGATAAGTTGAACTCTGAGGGTGTTGATATCAAAGTTTCACTCGAACAATGAACGAACTAAACAGCTCAAAGCGCTTAAGATTTGGTGTAGTGATCGACCACAAAAAAAAGACACCGTACAAGTCACTGTTGGCTTTCCAAACTAAGGATCAATTCGATGTTTCTTGTGGACAGCTATGGATGGGATCCGTTTCTGGGTTTCTGGTTTAACCAAAAAATGAATTGTATAAATCAATCTGATTGTAAATGAAATTGTTTCTATCATGGTTCGAGTAGGTCTCTAGTTGTGCGGAGGTAAAAAAAATCGCCCTGATCCGGTTCGACTTTAAAATGTAAAAATAAATAAAAAAGAAGATCACAACACAACCCACCACAAGGTCCAACCCATCCACCCAAAACGTCCACCACCCAACCATACTCAAATTCCTAGCCCATAACCCGACCATACTCAATTCGTTGTTACAGACCAACTAATCTCAACTCTCAATAAGTAATCTAGAGGTCTTCAGTTCGAATTCTGGTGGACCTGGTTGGTGTCTGTGCAAATTCTAAACTTGCGTGAGTGGCTTTTGTTTGATGAGCGTGCTAGTATGTGGTATAAGATTTATTATTGAACTCTCTCAACAACTTAAAGTTATTGGAACCAATTGGTTTATAACATCAGTCCCTCAGGTCCCAACCCTAAGTTTTCTTTCAAACAAAAATTTCTAATCGTCCCCGCAGTTTGTTGATCTCCTACCTTAGGTAAATCGTGATTAGTGAGTTTGCCGCTCTCCCTCAAACAATCGATTATTCACTCTCACTCGTCCTCTTTTTCATTCCTCTCCACGAGACCCTCTCCATTCTCCACCATCCTTGTTCTTTTACCCTCATCCTTTGATCACATCCTTTGCTCTCTATCTCTCTGCCTTTACTGACCGGAGCTCGGTAGTAGCAAATGCCACCAACCGTTCACTAGTGTTCGTCTTCTTGTCTATTCTCGCCATCCATCTCAATTTCTCTACGGAATGAGTTAGCATGGTTACTCAAAATTGAGTAACCATAGTGGCTACCATAATCCACTTAATTTATTATCTATATTTCACCCTATTTTTGAATTGACGGTAAAGATTAGATGAAGGATAATTTTGAAAACGAAAAAACACCACCTGATTACTATTTTATAAAAAATAAATTTCTATACATTATACACAAACCCTACAACAATCTTTCTAGTGGTCAACAATTTAAAAAAATTCCCTCTTCCCTCTCCCCTGTCGGCGGTCACTCCCCTCCGCCCACCCTTCCCCCTCCGTTCCCCCCCCCCCCCCCCCCTCTCGTCCTTTCCCTCTTCCCTCTTCCTACCCATCCCCCACCCCTCCTCCACCCTACACTCCAATCCCTTCCATCTCTCTCTCAAATTGATGAAAAACTATTCATTACAAATCCTCGACCAGATTTTAGATCTTGATTATGATTAGCTGCTTGATTAATTGGAGCTCTGGATGTGTAAAGGTGTGTATTTTTGTAAAATGGTAGTGATTTTTTCGTAGTGGTAGTGTTTTTTTTTGCATTGGTATTGTTTTTGTCGTATTGATATTGATTATCATGTAATGATATTGATTTGCATTTATTGGTATTGATTAAATATGCAATGGTATTGGTGTTTTGTGCAATGATAGTGTTTTATTAATGGATTTGTATTGCTTTATTGTTTTATGTTGCAGCGGTAGTAGTTCGACTCAATGAAATCAAAGAAAAGATTGAGAAAAAAAGGAAGATAAATTTGGCGGAAGATTATGGAAATGAAAGAAAGAGAAAGAGAAAATTTTAGTTAATAAATTTATGTAACTTCCTAAAATGTCATTTATTAAAAAAGGAATTAATAAATATTATTTATCATACCCAATTTTCCCTTAATAACCATGGTGATTACTAATCCATAGTAATCACCATAATAACCCCACCCTTGGGATTTCCTATAGGGATGACAATGGGTCGGGTTGGGTCGGGTTTTGCCAAACCCAAACCCTTGGGTTTATCGAAGAAAAAAATCCGGGGTAAAACCCATTGGGTTTGAAAACTCAAACCCAATCCAACCCGCTGGGTATCCGCGAGTTCATGGGTACCTAGGGATTTTTGTCGTAAAAAATTTACAATAACAAGTTTCTATCAAAATAAAATTCAAATATCAATCTCTCAATACAAACTATCCATATATAAAACACCATTCTAGAAAATTTAAGCAAATCACAAATTAATCATACAAATTGTTCAACATAAATCTAGAATACTCAAGGAAATGGAAGCAAATCACAAATTATCCACAAACAACATGATTAATTGAAAACTTCTTCCTTCTTGTCAATTAAGATTTTTCAATCTTCACTCGATAATATCAATTTCATTCTAGACAATTAGAAAAAAAAATAGACATGTCCCCACAAACATAAAGCAGATTAATTTATTAGAATATTAAATATACCGAGAAAATTAATTATATGGATGCGGACGGGTACCCATGGGGCGAATTTACCTTAATCCAAACTCAACCCAACCCGATGAATAGTGAATGGGTTTAAACCCAAACCCGGATCAAAACCCATCACCGGGTTGGATCGAGTAGGATACCCGTGAGTTCGGGTTTTGTTGCCATCCCTAATTTCCTACGACATGCGTGGCAGTGATATGAGGTGATGTGTATTGTGAATTAGGAGATGAGTCGGAGGAAGGGGAAACCGAGAGAGACAGTGGAGGAGAGGGAACACGAGGATTCGCTTCTGATTTCTACTTTCGTAAAAAACAAAAAAAAAACGAATCATGACCGGATTGATCCGATTCGGTATAACAGGATCAGACTGAATCCCACCCTACCGACGGTGGTTCTCAGAACCAAACCGAACGGGTTCGGTTCCGTTCTAATTACAAGGAATGCTGCTGATGCATTCCGATCCGGGAATAAATACGATGATGCGCTAAATTGTTTTTCCCAAGGAGGTTCTGGTCACTGTCATTTTATGCACAGTGTGAACTCTGTATAGCACGTTTCCAGCCGTATCGCCCCAATTTTGTTATTTTCTTCTTTTTTATGACGCCACAAATATCACATTCAACCTCATTTTTGTTCCCCTTTATAAGTAAGCTAGATCACAGGACGATGAAAAGAATACAGACCAATCATGGCGGGAAGTTTACCCGAGAACGGCGTCCCAGGTCACCATTACTCAAAACAGCACGATGAAGATCTCCACAATGGTCTTAAACCTGGTAGGTGAAATTTTTGTAACTTTCTTTTCAGCCTCAGCTAAAACCCAACGTTTTCGGATTTTGAAAACTCTGTTTTTTTATTATGCAGGGGAGGAAGTGAACGACAGTCCAATTGAGCAAGTCCGGCTGACGGTTCCGATCACCGACGACCCAACCTTGCCGGCGCTGACTTTCCGGACATGGGTCCTGGGAATCAGCTCGTGCGTGTTCTTGGCTTTCCTCAACCAGTTCTTCGGCTACCGCTCCAATGCTCTGTCCATCACCTCTGTTTCGGCTCAGATTCTGGTTCTGCCGCTGGGGAAGCTGATGGCCGCCTCGCTGCCAGAAACCAGGATCAAGCTGCCTTTTATCCGATGGTCATTTTCGATGAATCCGGGGCCATTCAATTTGAAAGAGCACGTGCTGATCACCATTTTCGCCAACTGTGGTGCCGGCGGGATTCTGGCGCTTGGTATTGTTACTGCCGTCAAGGCGTTTTACCACAGAAAGATTCATATCATGGCCGCTTTGCTCCTCGTCCAGACCACTCAGGTTTCTCCATTTTCCCCTTCTTAGACTGCTTAACTGTTCTACAGGTGACTTGTTTTCTGTTAGGAAATTAAGGGTACGTTCTGTTTCTGAAAAATGTTTTAGTTGCTTGGGTATGGATGGGCTGGAATGTTCAGAAAAATCCTGGTGGATTCACCACACATGTGGTGGCCTTCAAACCTGGTCCAAGTCTCTCTTTTCAGGTATACACCTTCTTGAACAAATTACCATGGTGGAGATGATGAAAATTGGGGTTGTTGGTATTAATGTGGGAAATCGAATTACAGGGCGTTACATGACAAGGAGAAGAGATCATCAGGAGGGCAAACCAGGCTGCAGTTCTTCACCCTCGTGTTTGTGTCGAGCTTCGCTTACTACATCGTTCCGAGCTACTTATTCCCTTCGATCTCGACTCTTTCGTTCATGTGCTGGATATGGAAGAACTCCATCACTCCTCAGCAGATCGGGTCGGGGCTGAACGGGCTCGGGATTGGCTCGTTCGGTCTCGATTGGTCGACTGTAGCCGGGTTCTTGGGCAGTCCTCTGGCCACTCCTCTGTTTGCCATTCTTAATACAATGGCGGGGTTCTTCCTGTTCGTTTATGTCATCCTTCCAATTGCATACTGGAACAACGCATTCAGCTCCAGGAGGTTCCCCATGATCTCTCAGCAGACGTTTGACAGTTCTGGACAATTGTACAACATTACCAGGATTATCAACGAGAGGGAGTTCGACATCAACCTCGGCGAGTACGAAAGTTACAGCAAGCTCTATCTCAGCGTCACTTTTGCTTTTGTGTATGGGTTCAGTTTTGCATCTCTGGTCTCGTCGATTACACATGTTGCGCTCTTTGATGGGAAGTAAGTTCATCTTCCCCAAATTTCCAAACTCCAAAAGAAGAAGGGAACTGTTTCATTTTTTGCTGAAAAAATTCCTCTGATTTTGTGGTAACTATAGATCAATTTGGGACCTGTGGAAGAAGACTTCAGCAGGAAGCAAAGACCAAGACACAGATGTTCACACAAGACTGATGAAGAAGAACTACGAATCTGTTCCGCAATGGTGGTTTCTGGCAATTGCAGCGGTGTCCTTTGCACTTTCTCTGTTTACCATTGAAGGGTTTGGTGGACAGCTTCAGCTTCCATGGTGGGCGCTCCTTTTGGCTTGTGGCATCTCCCTCATCTTCACCTTGCCTATTGGGATAATTCAGGCCACAACAAATCAGGTCAGTCTTTTCACCTAACGTATCGATATGACAATCATTAGAACGAACTGATTCTTAAACATTTCGAAAACTCATCGAGCATGCATATGGTATTTGCATTGCAGCAAATGGGCATAAATGTGATCACAGAGTTGATCATAGGGTATATGTACCCTGGAAAGCCTCTGGCTAACGTGGCATTCAAGGCATATGGCTACATTAGCATGTCACAAGCTCTGAGTTTCTTAGCAGACTTCAAATTAGGGCACTACATGAAAATTCCTCCGAAATCCATGTTCCTGGTCCAGGTAACTAAAGCAGATTCATTCCATTCCATTCCATCCCAATTACATCTGACATTAAGCTAAACAAACAAATCATTGATTTTCACAGACAGTAGGGACGATTGTCGCTTCAACGGTCCGATTCGCGACAACTTGGTGGCTTCTTTCGAGCGTCCAGAACATCTGCGATACGACGAAGCTCCCAAAGGGCAGTCCATGGACATGTCCAGGGGACAGCATCTTCTACAACGCTTCGATCATCTGGGGAGTGATCGGTCCTCTCAGGATCTTCAACGTCAAGGGAAACTACGCCAAGATGAACTGGTTCTTCATGATCGGCATCCTGGCCCCGATCCCAGTGTGGCTCCTGTCGCGCAAATACCCCGAAAAGAAGTGGCTTCGACTGATCCACATGCCCATCTTCATATCGGGCATGGGCGGTCTGCTGCCCGCGAAGCCAGTTCACTACCTGTCGTGGGGAGCAGTCGGGATTTTCTTCAACTACTACGTTTACAAGAGGTTCAAAGGGTGGTGGGCTAGACATACGTACATTCTCTCTGCTGCGATGGATGCTGGTGTTGCTTTCATGGCCGTGATGGTGTACTTCACTCTGCAGAGCAAGAACATCTATGGCCCGCAGTGGTGGGGTTTGGAAGCCGATGATCACTGTCCTCTGGCGAAATGCCCTACAGTTCCTGGGATTGTTGTGCCTGGATGCCCTGCAGTTTACTGATATCACTGGATTGGAAAATGAAAGTTCATTGGCTGCAGTGTTATATGTGTAATGCGATTCTTTATTGGAAATGGGAATTCGGATTCTGTATACCAAATGTTTACAGAGAGTTTCATTTCACACGGCAAAAAAACATCGATCTAATTATTCACATATCATGATGCGTCATTCAATCAAACCCCAAGTCTCACTTTCCTATTTCCCCCTGCATTTGCCTGCGACGTCTTCCAGTGGTAACAAGATTCGCCATCGTACAAGGACAGACACGGCCCGCTCTGTTTCACGAGCCAGCGGCAGTAGCTGCACCTCAAGAAATCCCTGGGCGCATCGTAGATGTCGAACCAGTGAACGCCTCCTCCTTCTCCCCATTCCATGGAGCAATTGAACAGTTCGGTCTCGAAGACGCTGTTTCGGAAAGCAAACTTCAACTGTTGGTGTGGCATCACCACTCGGAGGCCGAGATCGTAGTCATGGGACTGGCAGTGAACCTTCAACGGCCGATCTCCGTCGAGCTTGTTAACCACCATCACGGTCGTGTGCGGCGGCCTGATTAGATCTGACCTCGTATGGCACATGGTGGTTGGTGCCGATAAGAGAAAGAGCAACAACACCGCTAAGATGGTTTTTTCGTGCTTCATTATTGGTGTTTTTCTTCTTGGGTGGTTTGAGCTTCAATTTTGATTCGGGGGTTTTGAGGTTTACAAGGTAATGTTGATGATGCCTTCTTCTTTTGTGTTGAATTGATGATCACAAGCTTTTGGTTGTGTGTTTTTATAAGAAGAGTTAAATGACTGGCTAGCTAGAAGATTCTTTTTGTATTCAGAAACTTTCATGTTTACGAGATATCATGCATGAAAATCGTAGGTTAGTCCGTGAATTTTGTAGGATTTGACTTTTTTTGTTTCACAATTCTCAACTTTTATGGTGGTTATTGATATCAAATGAAAATGAATTTGCTTATATGTATCTTTTTAATAATTTTTAGTATTATTCTCGATTCTTTTTGCCAACACAATTTTTTTAATAAAAAATTAGTTTTGTTAGGGGGAATATAACGAACATGGTGATCAGAGTTGAACAACCAAGTCCAATGGAAGGAAAAACAATCTTGCACTAGAAAAGCCAAGTTGGACTTTATCAGCCCAGAAGAAAGAACGCACAAAGTCCACAACCTAGCAACCTTAGCCCAAAGATCAAAGTCACAACTCACAAAGTGAGGGCAATTGCTTGCATCCTTCCTTCCTACCAGCTACCCATTGCATGTTTTGCTCACACCTAGTTGCAACTATGTTCTAGACTCCCTCGCTTCACCTATTCAATTGTTCATATCTTTCAAGCACTATGTTGATCTTTTATAGTCTAAACTTGCACCCCAGTTATATCAAAGAATTTCAACTAATTAACATCAACATCATCAAAGTCTTTGTTTACACTAAACTAGAATCGACACCCGCGGCTAAGCGGCAGGGACTAAACTTGCAGCAAAAATCATCCTACAGTAAGTAGAGTAGCGAGGAGGTGGTCGCCACTCGTACAACTCACCACTCGTACAACAGAATCTGTCAACCATAGACAGAAGCTACCACACAGTATTGAAATGTAAATGTCGCAAGCACCAATACAGGAGTTGTTGGCAACTCAATAGAATCACAGGGGTCTACTTCAGCTAGAACCAAGCAAGAAGCATCAAAGTGAAGAAGATAACCTAAGCATTTGAGGAAGAAATCTACCGGCACACTTAATCTGGATCAGTTTAAAGCACGCAGAACCACAGATCGTATCTGGCAGAGAATTGGTTTAGCCTATTGACATACATACAAAGTACAAAGGACGCAGTCAGCATGTCACCACGGCGGTCCTGAATTGCAGGCATGTTTGTCCAATTTATGTACACTTCCTACCTCCCCTGCGCTTCCAATTGTTGCTTCTGCAACACAAACACACATCACATCATCATAACAACAGAGATAGAGCAGAACAACTCCCGCAATGCACATCACATCAGCATACAACAGAGATAGAGCAGAATGTAACAATTCACTGAAATATAAGGAATTAGGAGTCGCAAGCCCGTGCTCCGTACGGGATATTCATTCCTTTTTGTATTAAGATTTGTGTTTTTATAAATATTATGTGATATGCTAATCAAAAAATATAAATTTGCATAATACAATGTAACAATATAACTTAAGATCATTTCTGAAAAGAGTGTGTTCAGTCAATTGTAAGACCAAGTTGAAACTATGAGAGTAAATGAACTCGATGTCCAATGAGACCTCAAATTTTTTTAAATAGTTAAAAAATTGACAAAAGTTGTCGATCGATAAAGATTTGAAAATGCCTCATTGAAATATGCTCGATCAACCGGCCTATAATTGAATAGTCAGAAAACTAACAAAGATTGTTGACGGAATGAAATTATCTAATAATTAAAAAACAATTAATGAAACCCTAAACCAAGGCTTTAATATACCAATTCAAAAATGAAAAATGCAACGCCGGAATACACAAGATTGCAATACGTGTGATTAGCCACCCTCTAGTTGAAAAGTGGGGAAAAAATTGTCAACTGATAGGAATTTGGAAATGGAAAAATCTTCAAAATATACGTGTAGAAATTGCGTGATCAGTCGATGTTCGTGAATTCGTTGATCTCCTCCGGGTAATGGATAATTGGCCAACAATTGAATGGTGATGGAGAATTGGTGAACAAATGAAAGGGATGAGAGTAAGATAATTAGAAATAGAGGACCTGAAAAATCAACAAAAGCATAGAAGAAAGGCAGAGAAAGTAACAACTGACTTCGTCTGTTCGATTACCACTTTCATCATATTTGATAGGAAATGAAAGATTTTCCCGTTGTTATCATGTTCATCCTCGAGCAAGAGATGTATGATTTAGAATACAAAATCAAATACGAATAAGAAGTCAGTTTGAGCACATGAAAACGATGAAAGAAAAGAAATGAAGAAGGAACCAATAAGAGGTTAACACTTAACATATGGGTAAAAGAAATAATGAAAAAGATGAAAATTTATGTTGTCCTAAGAAGAATGACCCTAAAGTTCAAAACGATTACGAAATTTTTGCTTAATGAATTGTACCATTATAACTGTGGTTTTTATATAGAAGAAAGGCGAAAAAAGTAGCAACTGATTTCGTTTGTCCGATTACCACTTTCATCCTATTTGATAGGAAATGAAAAATTTTCCCGTTGTTATCATATTCATCCTCGAGCAAAATATATATGCTTAGAATACAAAATCAAATGCGAACAAAAGTTGGTTTGAGCACATGAAAACGATAAAAGAAAAGAAACGAAGAAAAGGAAAAAAGGGTGAACATATGGGTCTAGGAGAAGTAAAAAAAATTATGTGAAAAGAAATAAAAGAAGGAACCAATAAGAAGTTAACACTTAACATATGGGCAAAATAAATAATGAAAAAGATGAAAATTTATGTTGTCATAAGAAGAATGACCCTAAAGCCTCTTAATGAATAGTACCATTTTTTTTTTACAAAAGATAATCGATATATTGATCAGAAACATAAATAGTTACATCCTGGAATTTAACTAGGCCAGAAAATCAAAATAACGACTCGCAGTCGGGTACAAATGAAGGTCCTTTTTAGCAACCAAGTGGGCTACCCTATTACTACGCCGACCTACAAACCGCACAGAGAAACCTCTCAGCGACTCCAAAACACCTACAATTTCTGTCAGAAGCGCCCCAACTCGGCTATCCCTAGTATCCGACTGGTTGATTTTATCAATAATCACCTTAGCATCCCCTTCAAAGCGCACCTCCGCAAACCCGGAATCTCGGCACCAGAGAATAGCCTCCCGGAGAACTAGAACCTCAGCAAACAATGGATCATCGATTCCCATGAATTGAAGCCCTCTTGCCATAAGAATTCCCCCAGAATGACTTTTGACCACCATACCTCCGGCCGAATGGGAAGCTGACTTGGTCGCCCCATCCCACATGCAGATTATAGGGCAAGCTAACTCATTCCTGGTACTGCTGATAAATTTGCCTCATTAACGCTGGAAACCCAAAAAGTTTTCCCTCAAAGACGACCCCGTTCCGGGACCGCCAGATCCTCCAAAGGACAGCGGTAACTGCCATGAACAGTTGGGGTTGCTGGATGATATTCATCAACCTTTTTAGGAACAAAGGAAAAGTGTGACGGGACAACCCTGACCCAAGTATTCCAACCCAACGTAATCCCATAAAGCTCTTGCCACAAGGCATTCAAGAAACAAATGCTCCAAAGTTTTGGAATCAGCCCAGCAAACGAGGATGGACCTGGACCTTCCTTTCTAGTAGAGCTTCCGTTGTAGGAAAGAGCTGATTTAAGATTCGCCAGAGGAAGACCCTCAGTTTTAGAGGAACAGGAGCTGCCCAATACCCGGATCCAGCTAGACCTATCCATCCAACTGGCTAACGAACGCCACCGACCATCCTTTTTGTCCAATTGGACAGCCAGATGATATGCCGATTTCACAGTGAATGACCCATCTGGTGTGCCATGCCAAATTAGCCGATCCTCTACATTACCACGTGGTAGATGAATTTCCTTAATGGCACGACAAGTGGGAGGGTCAAACCATTGGGCCAGACCAGCATCACACCAGCATCCTTCCTCCGCATTAATGACAGTAGCAACCGGCAAATCCCTATAAGCAGGCAAGACACAGGGGTTAAACATAGGGGCCAGAGGGTGCAGACACAGGACCCAACTATTCTGAAGTAACGAGGCCGTCTGACCATTCCCAATTTGTCACCGAAGCCCTTGGCTCAACAATTGGCGCCCAAAGAGGATGCTTTGCCACCCCCAGAAGGTACGGGACTGCGCCTTCGCCTCAAGGAAACTTCCCCACGGAAATTACTTCCCTTTATAAACCTGTGCAAGCAGCGAGTTAGGTTCCGTTAAAATATGCCAGCCAATCTTAGCCAACAACGCCTGATTAAAGTGCTCAAAACGCCGAAACCCCATCCCTCCCTCATGTTTACTGCGACACATGTTCCACCAAGACATCCACCCTCCACCAAAACGGAGCAACGTGATTATCCAAGATCCGGCAAAGTGAGAGGGGGAGTTTAAAGCAGGACATAACATGTAATGGTAGGGCTATGGCAACGGACTTTATCAAAGTCTCCTTCGCCGCCCAGGACAAAGTTTGCTTCTTCCAACCCTGTAGTCGAGCAAGTAATTTCTCCTTTAAGTATCAAAACGTCTCCACTTTGGACCTAGCTATCAGAGTAGGCAACCCCAAGTACTTATCATGGACACCCACCGCCCCCACACCCAGCACCTGTCCCAGAAATTCTTGATCAGGTATAGCAATATTCTTGCTAAAGCAAACTACTAACTTGGCTAGGTTGACCCTTTTACCACTCAGTTCCTCGTATTCATTCAGTACAGTGATCAAATTCCCACACTCCCAGAGAGATCCCCGAAGAAAAAAATAGGAATCATCAGCAAAGAAGAGATGCGAGATTCGAGGCGACCTATGCGCCACTTTAACTCCTTGCAGCTTTCGTTCAGTCACTGCTTTCCTCAGGAGAGTTGCGAACCCCTCAGTACAAAGTACAAACAACAGGAGAGATAGCGGGTCCCCCTGCTGAAGCCCGCGGGAGGACGCAAAAAAACCTTTAGGGGAGCCATTCATCATAACCGAGAATGAAGTCGATTTGAGACATTCGTGAACCCAGCCATGCCAGACTGAACTAAATCCCATCTTAGTCATCACTGCAAGGAGAAAGGGTTATTGGACTCTATCATAGGCCTTTTCCATGTCAACCTTTAGAGCCATGTACCCTTTCTTTCCCCATGACTTGATTTTCAGATAGTGCATTAACTCATGCCCTAGTAGAACATTGTCCACGATTTGTCTCTCTCGAATGAAGGCATTCTGGCCTTCCGAGATAACTTTTGGGAGGAGAGTAGCCAACCTTTCTGCCATGATCTTAGTGATAATCTTATAAACGAACTGACATAAGCTTATAGGCCGGAGTTGCTGCATAGATTCAACATTATCTTATTTCGGGATTAAGGTCAGCCATGTGTGATTGAAACTACGAAGCATCTTACTCGTTGCAAATAACGAACAAACAGCTTCAATCACTGAATCCCCAACAATATCCCAAAAAGTTTTGAAGAATTTTCCAGTGAACCCATCCGATCCGGGAGCCTGCTTAGAACCCATGGAGAAAACAGTGGTCCTCACTTCCTGCGGCAAAACTTCCGCCGTAAGACTGGCATTCATTGCCTCAGTAACTCGACAATCTATCGGGAGTTGATCCACTCGCTCTGACATGTTCTCCACCTAATTTTCAGAAGTAAAAAGAGTGTGATAAAAGTCAGTAGCAATGTCAGCCTTGCCACCCTCATCGGTTATCCATTCCCCTTCATTATTACGCAGACCAGCTACAAAATTATGTTTTCGACGAGCCCGCGTTAGCATATGAAAATACGATGAGTTTTTATCGCCTTTTTTGAGCCAGCGGACCCTCAATTTCTATTGCCAATAGACTTCCTCAGCCTCCCATTGCCTGTTCAATTTAGTCTCCAGAATCCTCACAGCATCCCAGTCAATGGGAGAGATTGATTTGATCCGTTCAATCTCCGTCTGAAGGGTTCAAATATTTCGGAGATTATTCGCTTGGTTCGCATTCTAAGGGTTTCCCCCATTTTTTTCACTCGCTTTGAGAGTCACATTGAAGTCTCCCATAATCACATAGGGCACATCGAAAGAATCACAAACACCATGAAGTTGAGCCAGTTGGCTAGCTCTTATTGAATCAACACAGCTAAAGTAGACGAAGACCACGACATAGGACAAGTCCATTTCATTAACACGAGTACAAATGCAGAAATTCGAATGAAAAACAACCGAAGCATCAACTTTGGGGGCCCAACCGACTACAAGACTACCTGATGCATTGACAGCATCCATAAAGAAACAATGCGAAATATCAAATCCTAAACCTCGCATACGACGGGAAACGACTCTCCGCGCGATCTTGTCTCTGAAAAGGAAACAAGTTCCGGTTTATTCGAATAAACTAAACCTACAGTAGTTTGGAATGTGAGGGATGATCCAATTCCTCTCACATTCCAGGCCAACAGCCTCATTTATCTGGTTGGGACCACTTCAGGCTGGCTTCCTCCACCTTTTCATCATTCTCTGAAACTTCCAAAAACTGTTTCTTGGGAGTGGGACCCTCCCCCAACTCACCTTCGACCTCCTCTAGAAGCCGTTTGCGTCCCTCAAGAGACGGCTCTGGTAGATTAGATCCATACTCATCAATCACCGCTACAAGCGGTTCACCTTCCCCCTAGACACCTTGTGTCACAACAACAACAACCTCTTCACCCAGGACCAGCCCAGATTCAAAGGCAGCAACTACCTGGTGAACATGACCCTTCCCCGCACGCCGAGCCCTCGCTCCAGCTGCTATAGGCGAGCGCTTCTTCAGCTCAATAGACTGGGCATCATCCTCAGAAAGAGTATCCATCAAGGTAGAGTTGCTCAAGCCTAGTACTTGATTCATGTCTTGTGGGCAGCTTGATGGTACCCCCGCAAGTTCTGACGTACTCGATGGGGCAGCCCCCTTTTCAGCTTGCGTTTCGGGACCGCCGCGTTCAGTTTCAGCTTGCTTACTGCAGCATCCTCCGACTGCTTACCACAAGCCACCTTCCATGGATTGGGGGCCCACTGTTAGAGTTTGGCCACCCTTTTAGTACTCGTATCGTGGCCAGCTTGTCCTTCGATTCCTCGCCCATCAGACACATCATACATGGCATGAGAGGTGACATTGGCGGGCTGCATGGGGGGTGATCCTTGTGCTTGGGCCGCCGGGTAAGACGCACCATGGGAGACCACTCCTTGAAATTCAAAGTCGTCCTCACTATCCTCTAGGAGGATCAGCCTTCTCCTTCGTCCAACATCAATGGCCTCCTGCAAGGAAGCCTTGCCCGCCGGTGTCTCCCGCGCAAGATTTCGTTCCCCAATCTTCGTCTCACCATCCTCCTCTGCCGTCAGTCCTTCATTGCGAGTCACAAACATCTTAGCACACCTAGCTTGATGTCCAGGGTTCCAGCGCGGCCCATTAACAGGACGAAATCTCGGGGATTTCGAGACTTTGATTCCCCGAGGGCTTCCAGGATGGGGAGATGGGCACGAGCTCGCCCAAGGAAGTATACCTCTGTCTCCAGCTGGTGCTCGATGGGAAGGCTCTCCCTTGGTTTTACAAATCATTGGTTGCTGTTCGAGTCCGTTTTCATCCCTACCCGATGGAGTTTGTACCCTCCCTGTCAATCGAGTGTTCCCAACATTTCCCCGCACTTCTTTATTAACCCAAACGATTTTCCTAGCGCCCCCAAATGGACGGTGAGCTTCTTCCTGATCATAAATTTTGCTATCTTGTTTCTTCGTCGACATATGAGTACCATACCGTTCCTTTCTGGCCGGCGGATCGAAGGAGCATTCTCTTTGTAAATGACCGATGCGGCCACAATGAAACAGAAACTAGGCAGGTGTTCATATTTCAGATTAAACCAGGAATTTCCAGTTTCATCGCAAATTGTCATGAGCTGAGAACGTAGAGGTTTAGGGGTCGTTTGGAGAATATGAGTTTAAATCTATAGATTGTCAACAATCTAAAGATTCTAACTCTTCGGATTGTTGAAAACAGATTTTAAAATGTTTATTGTTTGGTAACTGTGATTGTTAACATTCAATTAAAATAAAAATAAAAATATTTTATATTAAATAACATGTTTATCCTTAATAAAAAAATTAGAGTGGTTTGAGAAATATTAAAAACTTGTTGATAAATATATTTCATGTGATAAATAAATAAAAGTAAGAGAAAAACTAGGAGAAAAAAATCTTACGAATCAAGATATAGAATCTCTCTTATTATGAGAGATTTGATATCCACAGATTTTAGAGATTTGAAATCTCTAAAGCTAGAATCCACAATATAAAAAGCAACAAAAAAACATAACTTTATACAAAATCTACGGATTCAGTGAATCCATGTCTTGAATCCGGTTCTCCAAACGACCCCTTAGTGAAGTCAATCAGCGACTTCACTTTGATAAAAAGCTCTCCCGTCTCTTTGCAGGCAAAAACTCCAGATTCCAGCACTTGCCCAATAGCAGCGGATATCATCTTTTGCCTACCACTATAACTATGATTTTTATATAAGAATTAAGAACTTTAGTTATGATACTATCGGAATGATGTAGGTGGACCTCTCCCGAACCACATACATGTAAGTTTTTGGTATGTGATATTACAAACGCGCAAACTTTTGACTACAAAAATGATTACTATTTTAACACTACAACAAATATGGCCTTTTGTGACCATTTCCATGCAACTAAACTTTTTTTGGTCGACAAATGCTTATTTTTTATGACCAATTATATTTTAGTAGTGAAAAGTTTGATGAATTGGTCACTAACTAAAAAATAGAGTTTTTATAACCAAATTAAAATTTATATGACCAAAAATTTTAGTAATAAAATGTTGAATTTTTTTCTAACCAAAACTATTTGTCTATTGTCCTTAATGCTTTTTAAAGTAACTAATATTTTTGGTTACATAAACATGCTAAAATAGTCACTTACAAACAAAACAAATTTGTGACCAAATTAATACTAAAACTATGGGTAATAAAATAATAAAATATATTTTCTCACCAAATTTATTGGTTATGTTTTCTAAAAAAAGTTAATGATAGTCTATATATTTTTCTCTGGCATATTGTTTCATATCTTACAGAATTGAAAGTTTGTTCTCATAATTATTTTTCTAACTAAAATTGGGATTTGGAAACAGGGAAACCATTAAGGTCCGGTCCGCTGGTTCCTTCAAATCCCTAGCCGTCGCCGCTCACTCTTCCAATCAGTGAGATCGCGGCCGCCGCTGACTTCTTCTCCCAAGATATCGATGCCGACTCCTTCGCCCAAGAGATCGCTACCGACTCTTTCGAGTCAGCCGGCAACTGCATTCCGCGAAGCCGAAAATGGACTCGAGAAAGATCCTCAGGCGCTGTGGAGGAGGAATCACAATGGCGACGATTTGAAATTGAAGTCGCTGAACTTCTGGAAATCAAGCAGATAGGCACCTCTCATCTCCGATTCAGTCTCCACTCATCATGCGATGCTCGCCAGGCAGCTCAACGACCGCGTCAAGAAGGCATTCAGTGTTCAGTTGATTGGTTACTCGTGCTGCGATGTTCGGAATCGCAGGTGACTTTCTCATCCATTGGAAGTTAACTGTTCGGGTTTCTTGGTTATTGTCATTTTTCTGGTGTGGTTTGGTCAGTTTGTCAATTTGCAATTCCATTTGCGTTCTACAAGGTCGGGGTTGGTGGCGAGAACTCCAGCGACGAAGGTGGAAGCGGGGGATTGGTGAACAATATAGTGAAGGGACCTTGGTCGCGCGAGGAAGATGCGTTGCTAGCTAAACTGGTGAGCAAGTTCGAGCGAGGAATTGGAGCTTGATCGCTCGGGAATTCCATGTCGGTCCGGTAAATCTTGTAGGCTTAGATGGTGTAACCAGCTTGATCCTTGTTGAAACGCAAGCCTTTCACTGGTAAGCTTTTACGGCTCTTAAATCTCTCCAGAGCTCTCGCTCTCTGCCTCTGCCTTGCATTTTCAATCTGGAGGGGATTTCGGTTTTCTCCAAGGGTTTTTTTTGTTTGATATCCATTTTGCTAGCGTTTCTTGACTGTGGGAGAATTTGCTTCGGGGTGTTGAACTGCCTGATTGTCTTAGTTTGCATCTTTGCTTCTTGGAAGTGATTATGGATCACGATGGTTTGAAGATCATTCAAGGTTGTTCAAATGGATTTCTCAGTAGCTTTGATGCCGAGGATGAGTTTGTTTTAGGGATGTAACATATTAAGATGAACTTATTCTTTTGGTCGTCTTCAATTGTCATTTTCTTTCGCCCATCTTCCATTGATTCGTTATCTATGTCTTCTTCAGACATGTTGTCAACAAGTTTCATGAAGAACAAACTGCCAAAGAAGCAATAGCAGCTGAAGAAGAAGGAGAAGGTGAGAAGGAGGACGAAGAACAAGCTGGGCAGATGTCAAAGTATGACGATGATCTCATCATTCGAAGGGTATTTTGACTCTCCTTTTCCCCCCCTGCTCCTTCATGTGCTTGCGTTATTGATATGGTTTCAGTCTTGTTTCTCTAATTTAGCTTGTTTTGCTGCTCTGGGTTACTTGGGTGTTTGGACTCTGTAATGAGACTTCAGAGTTTAATTGTTTGGATGGATATGTATGGTTGTTAACTTCTAAGAGGAGGGTGATGATTCAGGGGCCGGCCGGCCAATGAGAAGTCACTGCCTTTGTCGGAGTTTACATTCGGTTGCTTGGTAATCAACATGCTACAGACTTTCCGATGAGTTTTTTGACAGCTTTTGTACTGCAGTTTGGATGTTGTACTTGGCCATTTGAAGTCGAGTTCATTTGGTAAGTATCTGTATCATCCATATGCATGCCTGATAAAAAGAAGGAATTAGAAGCATTAACAGTTTTAGGGGAAGAAACATGATAATCTATCCAATGACATGTACTTATGTAGACTAGATGCTGCAACTAATGGTGTTTTAGGGGAAGAAACATATCAAGTTACCTGCAGACTGCTTGTCTATGGCGCTTGGTCTCGTGGATGACGCAATTAATGCATCAGCACTCCTCATGATGTTAATGGTGTCATCGAAGATAACAGGTATTTATGCCCAGGATACATATATTGCTTAGATTTAGGTTTTACTAGCTACTAAGAGAGGACTTGTGTTGATTCTACGCATCCTACACGAGTGAACTTCGGTGACTTTATGAAATATGCAGGGTGAACATAGTGGAGAGAACACGAGAGATGTCTTGGTTGACATCGATAGAAGGCTTGTCCTATAGCAAAACACGAAGCTTGTTTTGGTTCCAGAATGATTTTGAGAGGTAATTTCACTTTTGTCCTGTGAAATCCTTGTCTATTAGACTGGGCACAATCTTTAGCAGTCCTTTGTGGTTTACTTTGAAGTTTAACCATTTCCACCTAATGCTGCTATTGTTAGAGCTCTCATTTGCTTTCACTTATGAGTTGTATCAGTGGACTTAACGACTCTGCTTTTTGTTTTGATGTTAATAGGTAATCTTGGTTTGTTATGCTTCCGTGAAGCAGAAGGTATAACCTTAACTGGTAGCTGTGAAGGTAAGTTCCTCTCCATTAACATTATGGCATACCTCTTATGTAATGTATGAGTTAGATTAGATCATATGCCCAGATCTGATCGTGCTTTTAGTACGCCCAACTAGTGATTGTATATGGATTACCCAAGTGGAACTGGTTAAAGTGTTATTCCCATTGGCTTAGCCTCTAGGATGTGAACTGAATTTATCTAAATTTCAAAACATAAGCAAAATTGAAGTGCAGCAGCAGAGGCTCTTTGTTAGTTTTCGTATTTTTTGGTTTAGGTACACTCCAGTGGGGATTCTTATGAGTTTTTGGAATCTAAGAAAACTGTTGATTCATTAAGTGTGTGTGTCCTACTGCCTTGCATTTGTGTAATTGAATGATTTTCTAAAATGTGCTAGTCAAACTGTATGATGGAACATTGAGTAGTAGAGGTTACTTTGTGGAACTTGTCATGTCATTGACATTTAATGGTTTCAGGTTTGCCACCAATTGTATTTGGAGAAGGGCTGTTGCCATTTAATTCTAATGAGTGATTGGTATTCTACTGTAGAAAGCAAATGCCTCTAATAGGGTACCCAAAGAAAGAATCCCAAGTACAAAGCAACAAACAAGTATTGATGTTTTACAATATGTTCTTCATTGTTTTGCAGTATGGGGGTTGTTGTTCATCTGATCAACATGGCTAAAGCGCACAAGATGGAGTTACAGATCTTATTGTTATCATTTATCAATAGAATGACACATTTTGGGTCAATGTAACAACTTGTTCAAAATAATTCCTTTTGACAAATGTAAATTAATGTTATGATATCAATATATTGATGCATTATGCTCTTTTTCAAACCAAAATCAATGGTCACATTTACTGCAGTATATCAGCTTTAGAGCATATAGTATCCATAAATCTCGGTTGGAAATGGTTACTTTGTGACCAATATAATATTGCTTCAGAACACGGAAATTGGCTACAAAATATTTTTAACGACCAAATAAATGGTCACAATTAGAACATATGGTAACCATAAATTAATGCTTCTGAGAGGAGTTTTATAACTAATACTTTTGGTTACTTAAGGTGATTAAATTAGTTTTGAATCATATTTTGATAACCAAATTTATTGGTTTTAAATAATTGATATTGTGACCTTTTCATTTGGTCGCTAGAAGAGAAATAAATTTGTTTGATTTTATAATATTTGTGACCAATTGCATATTTTTCATGACAATTTCGACAGGTTTTCTTAGACCAATAAATTTGGTCACATTAACATTTTATTATGTGACCATTATAGTATTTCGTCACAAAATCATATGATTTGTGACTAAATCCAAATATCGGTCAGAAATTACTTTTTCTAACGGGGCAAATGTGACCAAAGCTTCAACCAAAATAAATTGGGCGCTAAATTAAGTTTGTGACGAATTTTTGACATTTGGTGACCATTTTCTTTCGTCACAAAATCCTATTTTTGTTGTAGTGTAAAATCATGCATTCAAAATGATATATAAAAAACTGAGGTTCACTCCAACCTATTTTTATCTCTATTCATAATCAAAATTAAACCAACTAACATTGGTTTTGGAATAGGGGATAATATAGCAATGGTAAAAATAAATATATCACATTTGAATACGTATTAAGGGGACATAACTAAAGGAACGGACAAAATAAACTACAACGATATCTAGGGAAAAAATAAGCCAAATATCTACTTTAGGGTTTGCTTCATGGATTCGAGGGAAATCCACGATAATCATTGATTTAATAGAAATACATTGTTTGTTCATCATTTTTTGGGATCAAAGCTGTGAGACCTTTGAATTCATGAACTAGTAAGTTCCAAGTGTTAGATTTGAGATTTGGAACATGCCATAAATGCATGATGAAATTTTACTTATATACTCAATCATGAAATTTTAATATTTCAAGGTTGCTCTCACATTTAGCTATTGTACATATAATGAATCATTTAATTAACAACAAACAATAATATGATTATTCATTGTTGGCCGAGTTCTGATATATGATACTATTACTTGTGAAATAAACAAAGGACAAGGAATTGGTAAAGAAACGGAATTTATCTGTTTATTGTTATTGTTCTTGTGACAACACTATACTTGTTACTATTGTTCTTGTTTGTGTACATATCATAAACATGAAAAACAAATGAAAAAATGTTAGTAAGATAATTTTGGACTTTAAGTTATAAATACAAAACGTTTAGATCCACGATAAAAACATTTCTACAAACAAATGATTGTTTCAAATTCATCATACTTCAAATCCTTGATACATTCTTGAATTTTTATATTACAAAATCCTGATATTTTTAAATCCATAAAGCAGAACCATTGTAAATTGATTCTCCAAATTTTTAATCATCCATTTTGATGGACATAAGTAATTCAGAAATCATAAGAAAATTTACTAAGTCAGTAGTCACTTGCAATAATCAATTGGACAAACCTCTAGTGCCGGCTGCCGCATTTACCACAAACCATGATAAAACGGCACAGGATCTCACAATGTTTTTAGCCGCTTCCCTCTTCTGGGAGCTTATGCCCTGCATCTATCTATATGTAACTTGATTCTGATGTGTCTCTGAGAGCCAGAGCAAACCAAGAAACATGGGCAGCTTACAGCCGAATGTGCTCTCTGAACCTCAATCTCTCGATGAAGTTCACAGCTTTAACGCTGCCAAACTCGGTATGTCTCCGGTCTCCCGCCAATCTCGCATCCATTGCAAGTAGTTAACAACTTCATTTCCCCTGCATCAAGTACACTTATGCATATGTTTCTGCAGGAAAAGAGTTAGAAGAAGAAGTGATCAACGACAGCCCAATTGAGGAAGTGAGGCTGACAGTACCGATCACCGACGATCCAACGCTACCGTCACTCACATTTCGAACATGGGTTCTCGGGCTGTCTTCCTGCGTCTTCCTCGCGGTCTTGAACCAGTTCTTCAGCTACCGTTACAACGGTCTCTACGTCGGCTCTACTTCAGCACAGATAATGGTGCTGCCGCTTGGCAAATTGATGGCTGCTTCCCTCCCCACGAAACGTTTCGGGGTCCCGTTGACGGATTGGTCCTTCACATTGAACCCTGGGCCGTTCAATGTGAAGGAACACGTCTTGATCACCATACTCGCCAGTTCCGGTGCTGGTGGGGTCCCGGCTATCGCCATTGTTACCGCCATCAGAGCTCTCTACCACCGAAGCATCCATGTCGTCGCGGCGATGTTGCTGGTGTTCACCACACAGGTCTGCAGAACACACTGTTTTTGTACTCTTATTTTTTTATTCAATTTGCTGCACATTTTCTGATAGGTTGAGAAGAATTGAGAAATTGTTGCAGTTGCTTGGGTATGGATGGGCTGGAATGTTTCGCAAATTTCTGGTGGATTCGCCTCATATGTGGTGGCCTGGAAGCATGCCGCAAGTCTCACTTTTCAGGTACTCTATTAATCAGGGACGGAATCAGGATTTGAACTTAAGGGAGTCAACAAATTTTTTAATTTCATGAAACAATGAAGAAACATAATTAATTGACGGAAATTTGTTCATCTATGAATTCTAGTAACGCGATTTAACTACTGAACAATATATATATGCTTGTCTAAACTCTGTCCCTGTTGTTAATGGAGTTTACTGGCTGCCTCTAAACTCTTAATGTTGAAATGGTGAAAATGTGCAGGGCGTTACATGAAACAGAGAAGAGACCAAAAGGAGGACAAACCCGACTGCAGTTTTTCACCGTAGTGTGCGTATCAAGCTTTGCTTACTACATAGTTCCAGGCTACTTATCCCCATCCATTTCGGCACTGTCATTCGTTTGTTGGATCTGGAAGGACTCCGTCACCGCGCAACAGCTTGGTTCCGGGCTGAATGGGTTTGGACTCGGTGCATTCGGTCTGGATTGGTCCACGATTGCGGGGTTCGTGGGGAGCCCTCTGGCCACACCATTGTTTTCCATTTTCAACATCATGGCTGGGTTCATCCTGTTTGTCTATTTCGTCCTGCCCATCGCTTACTGGAAAAATGCCTACAGCGCGAGAAGATTCCCAATGCTCTCTCAGGGGACTTTCGACAGCTCTGGCCAACCGTACAACATTACCAGGATTCTGAACGAGAGGGAGCTCAGCATCAACCTTGTCGAATACGAAAACTATAGCCAGCTCTACCTCAGTTTCACTTTTGCGTTTAACTACGGGATCAGCTTTGCAGCTTTCATGGCTACCATCGTGCACGTTGCGCTTTTCGAGGGGAAGTAAGTCGCAGTTTTGTTCTAACTAGTAGGAAGGGATGTAAACCATCTTACACACTATACCATTTCTCATGTGCATTTTTTTCAATGTTGTAGGTCGATTTGGGAAATGTGGAAGAGGGCATCGAATGGAATGAAAGACCAATTCAGCGATGTCCATACAAGAATGATGAAGAAGAACTACGAAGAAGTTCCTCAATGGTGGTTTCTGGTGGTAATGGTCGTATCACTAGCACTTTCTTTCGTCGCGATTTTAGGGTTTGACAAACAACTCCAGCTTCCATGGTGGGGGCTCATTCTATCATGTGCGATTGCATTTGTTGTCACCTTGCCAACCGGGATACTCGTTGCCTCTGCACATCAGGTACACTACATAAGCTCTAGCACAAACTTATTCGTAATCATATAATTGCGTGCGTTAAGTCGAGCTTAACTACGTGCGCAGGGAATCGGGATAAACATAATCACGGAGCTAATCATAGGGTACCTGTACCCTGGGAAGCCAGTCGCAAATGTGACTTTCAAGACCTATGGCACAATTAGTATGTGGCAGGCGCTTAGCTTCTTGGAAGATTTCAAACTCGGCCACTACATGAAAGTCCCTCCAAAATCGATGTTCATGGTCCAGCTAGTAGGCACCATAGTTTCTTCCACCGTCCACTTCGGAACCACATGGTGGATCCTTTCGAGCATCCAAGGCATATGCGACCCAACGAAGCTACCCAGGGGAAGTCCGTGGACTTGCCCTGGGTACAATGTCTACTACAGCGCTTCGGTCATCTGGGGAGTGGTAGGCCCGCTCAGAATCTTCAACGTTCGCGGCGTGTACCCGCAGATGAACTGGTTCTTCCTGATCGGCACGTTTGCACCGGTGCCCGTGTGGCTGTTGTCGAGGAAGTTCCCGGAGAAGAAGTGGATCAGGATGGTTTACATGCCGATCGTATTGACGGGGATGGGCGGCCTGCTGCCGGCGAAGCCGATTCACTTCTGGTCGTGGGGAGTGGTGGGAGTGTTCTTCAACTACTACGTGTACAAGAAGCACAAGGGATGGTGGGCTAGGCACACGTACATTCTGTCAGCTGCGCTGGACGTTGGGATTGCTTTCATGGGTTTGTTGCTTTACGTTGCGCTTCAAAGAAAGGAGATATATGGCCCGCAATGGTGGGGACTTCAGGCTGATGACCATTGTCCATTGGCGAAGTGCCCTACTGTCCCTGGGATTGATGTCAAAGGATGTCCTGCCATTCAGTGATATGTACGTAGTGTCTTTATATGTTGTGTACTCTATGCGCTTCTACCATGAGTTTATGTTTCGTATTATGCCCGCGCTACGCGACGGGGCGTGAAATTATTGCAATATGAATATTGATCAAACGACAAACGGTTACATATTCTTCGTTCTTGAATTAAAAGTACAACACAACTTAAACATTAATGTGAGGGATGCACATAGAGAAGACAATTGGAACCCAAAAGGCAAGATTGATGGATAGAGATAAATGTAGCATCAGTAGAAGCTGAGAGCCTAAACACCATATGGTACACATGGCAAGGCCTCACGATCAAAAGTGAGTAAAGG